GGGGCCGGGGCGGGGCTGCGGACCGGCCGGGGGAGGGGGCGACTCAGGAGCTGAAGGCCCGCCCCAGCCACGCCCCCATCTCACAGACCACGCCCATCATCCCCTCCGCCGGGCGGCTCACGGCACTACCTCCGCGGTGCCACTAGAAGCTGGCGAGCTGATCCCGGATCTAAGACCTAAGATCCGGGATCCTCGCCCGCTGCCTCCGGCTTCCGAGGCCTCAGGGCATGTAGATGGGTTCAGGGAGTGGCACTTGGTGCCGTCAAGGAAAAGCAGCTAGAACCAGCTGAATTCAGCCTCCGAGACCCCGTCCCAGCTGCTTTTGATAGCACCTTCTCCGGCTTTCCTGGGGGCTCCTGTGAAATCTGCTAGTTTGGTTTCCGCTGGGTAAGAGGGAGGGGGACCACCTGTACCTCGGTCTAGAACTCTGGGAGAAGGGTTTGCGGGCTAACTGGGAGGTTTCATTCGGTTCTAGGTGCCTCAGGAGCCCCCTCGTGAGGAAATTTGGTTTAGACCGTTCCACGACTCACCAAAGACCCAGAGCAATTCTCAAAATCATTGCATTATGAAAAAAAACGGCCTTGGTAGACTACAATAAAAACTGTACATTAACAGGGACTGAGTGTTTATTACGTGCCAGACAGACCTAATCACTTTACATACATTATCTCATTTAATACGCATAACCGTAATAGGTAGCTGCTTTTATTAGGTGCTTTACAACGGAAAGAGAGGAGCGCTCGTTCCCCTGGCGTTAATCCTAATCGGCTAGAAAATGGTGGAACCAGGTTTGGGCCCTGTTTTCAGGTTCCGTCTTCAACTATTTGGAGACACAGTGCCCTTACAACGAAAAATCTCCATTGGCCCACGACGTAGGGGCTAATATGAACCAGCACCTCAATAATCAAGGCAGACAGCCGCCTACATACAGGCTAACCAAAACCCAGGAAGTCTGACTCGGGGTTGCAGTATCAGTGACTCTTCCAGACTGGAGTGCACCCTGTTCTATGAGAACCTGCTGACTGGGCTGGCTCCTTTCTCCATCCTCCAGAGGTGAGGGAATGCTGAAAGTCTGCAGTTGTCTTTGGGGCTGACAATGGGTGGCACCTGAGCCCTGACTAAAGTGTTGCTGCAGTGTTCTTGTGACTTTCCACATAAAGTTCAGGTTTGACTTCAACGGGAGCGGTGCAGGTTGCAGCAGGAATGATGAAACTGCCTTTACCTCTGCAAGCAGCTGTTCACTGCTTGTAATCGAGCTCAGGCTCGGTTCATGCTAGTCAGGCGAGGGCCACTAGGCTACCCAGTAACCCAGAAAGACTATTTTCTCAACCCAAGGCTTTTATATCTCTGAGAGGTTTCTTAGTTCCCCAGAAGTTCTACCTCTTGTCACACTCACTTAATTTTTCATTCCAGACTGAATTCAAGTACATTGGCCCTTCTGTTTGGTCTATTAGCTACTTTTCAGGTCTGTTTTTAAACTGGCCTCACCATCCCTACCCGGGTCTAAGCTAGATGCCCCTTATCAGGTGCTCCCACTGCATCCCGTATCCTAGCACTTCTCATTGTATTGTAGTTGCCTGGTTACTTGTCTCTATCCCCCACTTGGCCTTAAGCCCTGTGAGCAGGGACCGGGTTTTATTCACTGATGTTTCCCCAGGGTCTAACGCAGTGCCTGGCAAATAAAAGCACTCAGTAAACATCAGCTGTATGATTTAACGCATAATGGTTAGCCAGCCCAACCGCTCTGGACCCCGTGCTCTTCAAACCCATAGCTGTCTTGGTGCTAAGGGGGAAGAGGAAAAAGAGCTTTGGCTCTAACTAGGACCGAGGGGGATCAGGCCTTCAGCAGCTTCTGAAACTTGGCCACAGCTCTTCTGAATTTCTAAGAATTGAATGCATGACTACTGGGCATTTCTTACCAATCCACCCTCTGCTAGTCCCCCACAAATTGACCTCACTGGGCCTGCTTTTATGAAAGGTTTATTCCTAGTGCTAGAACCCAGTCTTCCTGGGCTCTAAGCACAATTCATCTGGGTGGGTAGATGAGGGGAGGGCCCATTCAGATGCAGGGCCATTAATGGGGCTCCCCATTTTTCCCACCCCTTTGGTCCCAGTTCCCTTCTCTGCAATGGACACATATTGAGGAGGGACAAAGGGTACTGGAGGCAACACTATTGGCCCAGGGGAGCCCAACAAGAGCTGCCATTGGCTGACAGAGCCTTTTGAGGTCCTGTCTTTGGTGGGGGGGGGCACATCCCAAGAGCTAGGGATAGGCCTGAGGAGTGATGCCATTGACCTGGGAGTGTTTTGTCATAGCCTTTGGCTGTGGAGTGAAAGGAAAGATCTGGGAATGAAGCCCAGTGGCTGGGAAGATAAAGGACAGGGCAGCAGCTTCTGGGCCTACAGGCCCTCTTCAGACCACAGCAGGACGGGCAAAACTGGTGTCAGACCCCATCCAGCAAAGGGGAGCCCAAGCCAGAAAGTAAGTGACAGAGGACATCCCGCGTCCAATCTCCTGCACCCTGGGGCTGCCCCGCCCAGTGTCCTTCTTGTTAGCCAAGTTGGGCTGGGAGTCGCTCACTGCTCCTCTAGCCAGGAAGGCTTCTCAGCTCCTGGAGGCCGCAGCTTGATGTTGAACTGCTGCAGGGTCTGCTCCAGTTGTTTCTGGTTCCCAGCAAAGTAGGCGGACACCGCATTGTGGAAGAGCAGCAGCTGTTTGTGCATCACCTTGATCTGGGGGCCCAGCAGGGTCAGCTAAGGCTGGACTCAGGCACCCTTCTTGAGGGGCTGCGCCTAAGCCCAGGCACTGACCAGGGCATATGGACTCTGCTCTGACAGCACTTTGGGAGTGGGGACTTTCCAAGAAGTCAAAAGAGAAGAAGGGGTAATACGAAGGAAGAAACCTGTCTCGATTTGTTGGGTCTAGGGTTCTGGCACCCCAGCTAAAGGGCAATTTTTTTCAGGTGTGTTCCTAAGACTAGTAGCCAGATCCTCAACAACAACAAAAGGCCAGCTATCAGGAAGGTGACCTGAAAGGGCTCAGGTATCAAGGGACAGGGGAACCCACTCCTAGCCAGGCTGCATCACCCCACTCAACAATCAGGAGGGTCCAAAGGGAAGGGTACTACTGTCAGATGGGAAGGTGATTTAGGACCAAGGGAGTAGGGCAGCACCTTGTTTTCTTCCAGGAACTTGAGCTTGATGGCCACATCTCCCCGCAGCTTCTCATATTTGTCCCGATGGGTCTGGAAAGTGGCCTGGGCACTCTCAAGTCGACCACGTGTCCCTGCATCCCGGGGGCCTAGGCTGAGCTCCTCTAAGTCTGTCCGGTAGGCATCATATTCCAGCCTGGGGAGGGGGTGATAAAGGCCGGTCTCCACCTCTTCACCCACACACGTAACTCCTTTCCTTCCTGAATTTGTATGCCCCTAAATGTTCAGATTCTCACCCATGCCAGCCAACTTCCCAAACCTTGAGCCCTGTCAGTGCCCACACCTGGCAGCCTCATACTGTTTGACAGTCATGAGTGTGTCTTCCATGGTCTTGGTGACCAGTGTGTTGATGCTAGAAACAAAGAAGTTCACAGCCCCTAGCAGCGTCTCCCCATTCTTGCACAGCAGCTTTTGCGTCTCTGCATTATAGCCAAATTCCTCCTAAGGGCAGAAGGGAGGCACAGGCCTTGAGTAACAGCCCTTACCTGATCGGAGCCGTAGAACCCTTCATTTCCCTCCGTCCCAAAGAAGAAACAGCCATCAAAACTAAAACAACCAGACTGCTTCTAGCAAGGCTCTCTTAGCCACAAAGTTAGTAGGGTCACCCTGGGGATGCCTGGGGTAGGAATGTAGAGGCAGAGTTTTTAGGTAAGTTTACAAGACAGGAACAGGGAAAGCTAGTGCAGCAGGCAGGGGAGGGACTCCGATTAGGCCAAGCACCAAAGACATTCTTGATGATATGGAGAAGGGTTACTTGTGAGGCACCAGTGCGCCCTCTCCCACAACCCCTCCAACTTTTGGACCTCTGTACAAACCCTTAGGCTGCCTCCATAGGTGAGTGATGCTGGGGGCAGGACTGGGCACACCCCAGAGGGATTCTCCCTGGGGGCTGCAGGAGGGAGGGAGGGAGGGAGGCTGAGGAATGCCTGCCTGGAAGAGCCAGGGCCCAGGACCCCCACCCTCTTTGTTTTGGCTGAGGCACCTGAAGCTCTGGGGACTTCTGGCTGAGGTCAGCAAAGGCATCACCTAGTGCATGCTGGGTCTGCAACAGGCTGTAGAGGTGTGCTGTCAGTGCCCGGCCCAGCTGCAGGACACTTTCATACTTGCGCTTCGTCTCACGCAGCAACTCAATCTGCAGCTCTAGCTCCAGGTCCACAGTCCGGGAGCCTCGGCCAAATCTCTCTGATAACAGCTGCTTTGTGCACTGATTGGAAAGTGGGGGGGGAGGTCAGAAATCTAAACACCCCAACGCCAACAAGTAACTACTCCAGCACCCCCATTCTGTAGTAAGATCCAGGGACAAGGAAAAGGTACCCATGGAGAGTTTCTGAAAGAGGCACCTGAATCTTACCTTATATGTGTTGATGCCCCATTTCTTGACGATGTCAAACTTCTCTCCGGCGATGCCCCGGGCCACCTCATCACCAGGGCCAGAAGGTGAGGTGCTGTGAGATGGATGACGGCCAGACCCTAAAGAACCAAGTTCTCTGACAACAGCTCCTCTCACACACAACCAGATACTCCTGTGATCTCACTTCCTTTCCTCCAGCACACAAAGTGACCTCTCTGAAGGAGGAAAGTCTAAACACCTGCACTCTTCTGCTCACAGGGAGAAGGACTCATACCCCGACAACCAACTCAACTCAATGTGTATCTGGCATTCTTGGGATAGAGTAGGAGTGTTGCTGGTAGACAGGGAAGAGGAGACAGAAGCAAATATAATGAGTGGAATTGAAAACGAAATTTGGTTTGTATTTTCAAATAGAAGTCTAGTTAGTATAAGTCTAAAAGAAAACTCTGAGCAGCTTACAAATTGGCCTTAAGTTCCAGAGCTCCTGTAGTGGCACCAGAGAAGGAAAGACAAATGAGACTAAGTGGCAAGTGGGAATCAGATGACCAACTTTGAGAGCTGGTCTGGGATTGGACTAGCACTTGTCAATTCTCCAATACATGATTCAAGCTTTCCTGTGTGTCCTATGTGCCTCCCAACAGTCCTACTCTCCCTCCCACTCAAGCTTCCTGTCTTTTATCATTCATACCTGTGGGGATGAGTCCATCACCAGAGCCCCCATAGCCACCAGACACAATGCTAGTTTCATTGAGGTTGGGTCCAGACACCATCACCTGCTGGAGGTCCTATAGGTCAGAGAAGATGGGAGTGGCTGAAACATTTTGGGGATGGAGACAGTACACAGTAAAGTCTGTATAGAATCATCACGAAGATTTGTAAAGTATAAAGTGGGTTAGCTAAATGAAGGCTATTGGGATGGCGAAAGAGAAACATTTAGGAGTTTGCTGAATTGAAACAGTTAGAAGACTCAAACAGAAGCACCTGCTCCAGCCCATCGTCTTCAGGAAGCTGCCCAGCTTCACCATTTCCATGGATAGGGATCTCCATTGTG